TATACTAAATATATATATATATATAACTTCCAGGTCAGGGGCTAGAATTGTGGTAAATATACTGAAAGCTGCAACCCTGGACTTTTAATTTCATCTTCTCAGTTAAAATAGCTTGATCTGAGGGCCTCCCTGGTGGCACAGTGGGTTAATGCACAGCACTAAGAAGCTAAAGCCACTTCAGCATGAATTTGATCCCTACCCCGGGAGGTGACCACATGGTACAGCAGACCTCTCCTGGCCCTCCCACTGCTCCCCTCAGCAGTGTACTTTGTCAGTCAGCCTGTTCTGCTCCCACTCTGTCTCTGGTGAAGCCTCTCACTGTCCCTGCACCTCTGACCTCTACCTCAGTTCTGTATGCATAAATAAATAAATCTTTAAAAAAAAAATAGCTTGATCTGAGACCATGCTCTGTTAATGTGCTGGCCCTCACATTCTCGGGATTTCCTCTCCTTTGGGTACCCCAAGCAGGACGCTTACTTCTCTTTCACATTGAGGTTAGTTTTCTCCAGGCCTGCAACCCATCCACTTCTACCTGTACCCTGCACTCAGCAGCCAGCAGGGTGCTCTGATCATGAGTTGGGAACGCAGTTTGTGATGTCATTTGTGGCTCTGTCACTCCATGTTTAGCAGGGAAGATCTGTAAGGGCCTGAGTGAGTCAGTTGCAGGTTCCATCCACCACAAGCGACCAGTTTATACAGACATTTGCAATGTTAAAATTGGGGTTTAGTAGCAGCTAAGTATCTCATCCTTCCCAACTTGTAAAATGGGTGGTGGTCAAGCTAAACCCAGGCCTCAGGATTCCTGGTCTGTGCCACAGGTTAGCGCCTAGATGTCACTTGTAAAAGAGACTACTGGAATCTCTGGATATGGTGGAAGCAGAAGGAAGGGCACCACGATTTTTGCTCACTCCCTCTGCCAGCTTTGCACAAATCCCTATGGCCTCTCTAAACCACTTTGTTTAATGGAACTCAAACCAGCTCTGGGCTGGTAGGACAAGCCTGCTAATCCCTGGGGCTTGGCGTTTACCACCTGCTTCCACGATATCCTTTACTGTCTTAGCATCAGAAAGTCAAATCAGGCCCCAGAGAAGGATGGTGGGTCAATCCCCCTTTCCTGCACCTGGACAACGAGCTGGGGAAACTCAGATATCGATATCGTTATTACAGTGTTGCTGCTTCAGACCCCAGAGTCCAGGAAGCCTTATAACTGACCAGAACAACACCTTCATATTCAATTATCAGATGCAAGAGTTAAGGGTGGAATGCCAAGTGGCCCTGTCTCTTCTTTCCTTCATAGGCAGTGTGAGTCGGGTTCACACCAACCTGGGTGCAAATCCTGTACCAACTGTGTGACACTTTGAAACACTTCCTGAGGTCTCTATTTCCCTGACTGCAGCATGAGCTGCTGATAATGGCTCTGCTTGGCAGGAGTTGAGTGTTAGGCAAGGAGGTAGAGAGAGTGAGCAAGGGTACAAGGGACCTTGGGCAAGAGAGCCTGAGAGAGGGAACCAGAGAATGCGGATCAGACATTCGATTGACTGGGTCAACCCTCCTTCCCAACAATGAGTTGGGGAAACTCAGATACAGATATTGTTATTATAGTGTTGCTACTTCAGACCCCAGAGTCCAGGAAGCTTTATAAATGACCGGAACAACGTCTTCATATTCAATTGTCAGATGCAAGGAAGGCGTCAGAAGGGCAAGAAAAAAAACAGACCCAGATTCACAGTAGGGAGGGAGCGCAAAGCCCGTTCTGCATGTCCCCTCTCAGGAGCAGTCTCCGCCCTCAAGGCGGCCCCTCTTCCTTGCCCTAGCATCCTTAAATCCTCTCTCATTTTGGACCTTCCACATCTGTCGCGGTACTATCCGGACCAACAGCGGGTGAAGCAGGTGAGTGTGGCACGGGGTGGGGGAGTGGGGGTGCCCGTGTATGCGCTGAAGATGGGCCCCAGGGAAAAGCCGCGAGGGTTGTCGAAGAGCAGGACTGGAGCGGTGGAAACACGGATCCGATCCGTGCAGTAAGGTTTACAGGGTGCAGGTCTGGGAAGGCTGGCTGAGTTGACTTCCCCTGTAGTTTCCAAATCGCTCAATCACGTGGAGTGCGCTTTGCCTCTCCCCAGAACCCGGGTTTGCCCTCAGCAGGTGCTCAAGACTTTCGGGTTCTGTTCTCTCCTCCCCGTTTTTCTTCTGCAGTCCGCGAGTCAATGGCAGAGCTCGGGAGCATCGAGGGACTGCGGCTCTCGGCGCTGCTGCGGCTGCTGTGGATGCTGGCGCAGGCGGGCGTTGCGGGAGCGGCAGGCTCTGTGAGTCTTGCAGGCGGCCTCACGCTGGGCGGACTGTTCCCAGTGCACGCGCGGGGCGCTGCGGGCCGGGCGTGCGGGCCGCTGAAGAAGGAGCAGGGCATCCACCGGCTGGAGGCCATGCTCTACGCGCTGGACCGTGTGAACGCCGACCCAGATCTGCTGCCTGGAGTGCGCCTGGGCGCTCGGCTGCTGGACACCTGCTCGCGGGACACCTACGCGCTGGAGCAAGCGCTGAGCTTCGTGCAGGCGCTGATCCGCGGTCGCGGCAACGGTGCAGAGGCGACAGTGAGCTGTCCGGGCGGGGTGCCTCCGCTCCGCTCTGCGCCCCCAGAGCGCGTGGTAGCTGTTGTGGGCGCTTCTGCTAGTTCTGTGTCCATCATGGTTGCCAATGTGCTGCGCCTGTTTGCGGTGAGGGCCGCCGGGCCGGATCAGAGTCCTGTGTCTCTCTCCCCAGTCCTTGCCTTTAGGGTTCCTGAGGTCTTTCACCTTTTATCTCTTTCTTGCTAGATCACAAAGACAAAAAGTTGCCTCAAAGAAACCCTGTGTGGGCCAGACGCAGACCTGGATCTCACTGCTCTAGCTTCCCATATCTGTTGGGGCGCCCTTCCAGGGTTGCTCCTGTCAGTTTTTTGTGTGAATTAAGGCCCACTGGGCTGAAAAGGGGGCCTCTCCAAGGGGACATACTCTACCAGCAGACTAACGACAACTTGCACCTGGAGACTATATCGGCTAGAGCAGAACAGGCTGAATTTTAATTCCTGCTGGCACCTAGGGCAAGTGCCTTTGTTTGGGGGTACAGACTGAAGGACCTTGCATGGTTATCCTTCCCTGAGAATCTTCTCTGGGAAACTTCCCTATGGGGAGTTCTGGTCGACTTGAATGTTCAAGTTTACGTTGTAACTAGGATGCTCCTTGCGGCAGGTAACAGGCATCGGGGATATGCTCCTGCTATTCTGTGGGGAGAGGTTGTAGGCCCACAAGTTCTGTCCCTATTTCTTCTTTTTAATTAATTTAACTTAATTTTCAGATATACCTTTAGGGTCTCTTAAGGAGTCTCTGAAAGAGACAACAATAGGTCTCCTTTCTAGTGTTTATCTCAAGAGCTTGTGTTGGGGGACACACCTGGCTAAGCTCTTGGATACCCTCATCTCTAGGGACTTGTTTTCTGTGAGGGGTAAGGGCTTCCTTGTAGTCTTTGGCATTGGGCAGTTTTCTGGGCCTTCGTGAAGGGGGAGGTGTCTCTCTCCTTCCATCTTTTTGTGAAGACAGGAAGACTGCCTCCATATAGCAAACAAGGAGACTTTTGTTTCTTCACAATTTCACTGACTTTCCCAGAGAAGCCTCTATTTCTACCCTATGTACACTGGGTAGAGATTTTCTCTGAGCCCCTCCCTTCATCATTTGGGGAGTCACCTCATTTAATTCCCTCTACTCCAGATTCTGCGGGATGATGCCACTGGTGCAGTATACCCTGTTGGCATGGTGAAGAGTACCTCTGTCTCACCTGGTGGCATATGTCTATGGTTGTGGGCTCTGTTCCTGACTTGCCTGGATCCCTGTTTTCAGTTTCTCCCTGTGTTTACCCTTCTAGGTCAAGGACAGAGATCTCAACAGGTTTTAGACATTGGACTATTAAAAGAAAATGAAGGCAGGCTGCACAAAGGGCAGCCATAGGCTAGATTTGGCTGCCTGAGGACCATAGTACAGTTGGTGGTCTAGAAGGAAAAATAAGGGTTTCGAGTTCATTTAACATCTCTGCAATCTTAAGCATTCAAAAGTAACTTCCTGAAGGAGAATCAGCCCACAGGGGAAGGTTGCTCAAAAAAGTTAACTGAAATATCTTGAGTACTCAGAGGAATGAAGGTATGTCCATTTAATTGCACTACAGCCAATGGACCTTCCTTCTGATTTATCCCCTATCATCTTGATTTTCTATTTCATCCTGTCCTTCTTTCTCAGTCTCTTTTCTTCTTTCTTTTCCCCTCCTCTGCTTCTCCCTCTCTCCCTTGTTCTCTTCTTCCCTCCCTTTGTGATCCTCTTTCCCTCCACATTCCAAACTTTCTCTCTGTCCTCCTTCAAACAGCCTCCCTCCCCTAAATCATTCCTGGCCTTCAAGAACCTTCCCACTTCTGACCCTCAAAGCTTTTATTTGTTCCTTTCCCTGTTACTGGGCAGTATGTTTCTTTTCTTTTCTTTTTTAGTTGAAGTGTCATTGACATACAATATCATTTTAGTTTCAAATGTACAACTTGATGATTTAACATTAGTTTACAATTTAAAATGAATAAGTCTATGTAGCATCTTTTCTAAGGAGTGTGTCTTTCTAGACTGTGAAGGACTCACCTCTTTCTCTGTCATCTTCCTTCCTGGCTTTGTCATCCTTCTGCCCCCATTCCCACTCTCCTTTCATGAGTACTTCTCCTGGATCCGCTCAGCTAGCCCATAACCCCTGCTCTCAAACACTCTCATAACACAGATCAGCCCCAGTTCCAGACAAACTCCTCCATTAGGCCAGACACAACTTTGAATTAAGTCACCCCAGCTTCCCTGCCTGCTGCCACTCCTCCACCCCAGATAGACCCTTTGTGTGCATTAGGAAAACATGAGGGAGTGGGGAGGACTGGCAAGGACATCCTTTACCCTGGTCTGTGTCTGGTAGCTGGGTTGGCTGCATATTGGAATTGAGCTCCCAATTCCCCCCTACTTGGCCCAGGATATAACCTGTATATCCATGTGAGGTGACCCTGCCCTCCACCCTAAACCCTCATAGCTCCCATATTCCATCACATTTAGTCATAAGCTGCAGATGTTTTCCCATGCCTTCTACTCTCTCTATGTGGCTGTTCCAATTGGTCCCAACTTCCTACCACAAACTTTTGTGTTCTTACCTGCATCCTGGGGCCCCATTGACTCCCTTCCATCAGTTTACTGAACCACATCCACAGCCCAGATGTTTTCCACCCTCCAGATCCCCCAGATCAGCTACGCCTCCACTGCCCCTGAACTCAGCGACTCTACACGTTATGACTTCTTTTCCCGAGTGGTGCCACCTGATTCCTACCAGGCCCAGGCCATGGTGGACATTGTGCGGGCATTGGGATGGAACTACGTGTCTACGCTGGCCTCCGAGGGCAACTATGGTGAAAGCGGGGTTGAGGCCTTTGTGCAGATCTCCAGGGAGACTGGTGAGCTGGGATGAGGAATCAGAATCATCTAGAACCCTAGAGAGGGATGAAACAGGGATAGTCAGATGGGGCAGAAGCCATGAAATGGGGCCACTGGCTCCATGACTCAGGGCCTGAATATGTCCAATTCCTTTGGAAGATTCAGCTCCTGCCTCATGGCTTCACAGATAAATGCATTGTATCTAAGCAAATGGAGGTACCTATTTGGAACTGGAGCCCAAACCGCACTCCACCCCACCCGTCCCCTCAAGCAGAATCTAAATGCTGATCAATTATGTGTATGTGGGGAGCAGGGGATCTGTGTGTGATTGAACTGACTTTGGCACCCTTGATATCCAGGGGGGCTCTGTATTGCCCAGTCTATCAAGATCCCCAGGGAACCAAAGCCTGGAGAATTCAACAAAGTGATCCAAAGACTCATGGAGACACCAAATGCCCGGGGCATCATCATCTTTGCCAGTGAGGATGATATCAGGTGGGACCTATGGTACACTCCTTTACTGTGTTCTTCAGAAACTGCCGTTAATGGCCTTCTCTCCTCTTCTTACACACTCCCCTGCAATGGATCTCCCTTACTACTTTCCTTCTTCCTCCCTGCTGCTCTTCCTACTTTTCCTGGGGCCATCTCTCTGTCTGATGCTTTCTAATGAACCAGACTTGATCTAGGTAGAGCTGCTCTAGACGTAGCCTAGAAAAACCACAAGCATACATGACTTTTTAAAAAATAATTCTCAGCGGTGGCAAGGGTGAAGCGAGAGGCACTGATGGGCATCTAAGTACAGAAGAGGAGCTGTCAGGGAAGAAGCCCTGGGAATAGTGTAGTAGTAGAAGTAGGAGGCCACAGACCTACGCCCCGAGTCCCATGTGGCTTAGAGTCCGTTGAGGCGTCTATAAGAGAATCAAGGCCCTTCCAGCCCGAGTGAAGTGGACTTCACAGCACAGAATAAGAGGGCAGCCTGGGAACAGGGCCAGGATGGACCTCTTACCACCATCTAAACAAACTAGGGCCAGTACCTAAACATCCCTGTCACAAGCTGAGGCAACACTGGAGAAAAAAAAAAAAAAACAAAAACAGTTGGGGTTGCAGTAAGTAGTCTTACACAGCAGTTTGAGCAGTTACAACTGAGGTGACTCAGGCTAGAAATAGTTGTTTCTGTGCAATTGGTCCCTCTCTTTCAACTGTCAGGGACAGCCATGGTTGTGTGCCATATTTTCAGAATATTTGTGTAGTCAGTATCTATTACTCCTATTGGGTAGGAGATGTGTGAATTCACACATCCTTTGTGGCCTTTCCAGCTGCACTTTAGACTACTTGACATGTCCACCTCCATTTTATCTCTTTATTTCCATGCTCACATCCCATCTTCTCCAGTGAATGAGGATCTTGATGAGTGGTGTGAAATGGTAAAAACAGAGGGAGAAGTATAGGAAGTGGCTTGGCCCTCCCTCACCTCCAGTGCTCTTCTTACTAGGAGGATCCTGGAGGCTGCACGCCAAGCCAATCTGACTGGCCACTTCCTGTGGGTTGGCTCAGACAGCTGGGGAGCCAAGACTTCCCCCATCCTGAACCTGGAGGATGTGGCCACAGGGGCCATCACTATCCTGCCCAAAAGGGCCTCGATCAATGGTGAGTGTAGTGGTGCACCTACCCTGCTACTGTGCCCCAATCCCACTCAGGACGTGCATCCCTAAATATGAGCCATGTCTCAGGGTCCTCCTAAGATCCCAGATTCTAAGACTCTGAGATTCTGTGAACACATCCTTCTAAGCAGTGCTTGGATGAATTGGCAAATGAGGAAATGTATACTCTGCGGTACAAAGTGAAATCATTAGTCATTTTGTTTAATTCAGTGCTTTTATTTATGATTCTGCCAAAGGCATTCTAACTTGAGGATGAGGGTAGAGGGAGGTCAATGAGAAACCCATGACATACTGTCCTGTTGATTAAAATTGTGCATGACCAAACTAAGTCTTTCACTTGCTGTCCACAAAGCCAAACTCTGAACTATGAGTATGTTTGCGCAAAGTTTAGTATGTGAGGCAATCAGCAAAGGGAGTCTACAGTTGGGATAGTAACACAAAAGAAGCTGGCTCCCCAAATGGGGGAGCTGCCCTGTTGATACACAGAGGGAAGGAATGTAAGTGGGTGCAGGACAAAAAGGGGAGTGAGGAGGTACCAGGTGATGGAGGCTCACTAATTCTGGTGCTCAGCTCCTCCAGCAGGGTGGGGGTTAAAAGTCCTGCTGGGGTTAACGGTCCCTAAGACCTACAGAGGCTTGCTCTTTACTATGATTATGTTCAAAGGGACATAGAGAATTCTGAAGTTAGAGAAGTAGCAAATAGCTCACAAGGCTTCAGGGATGTTGAAGAACAAATAGTGATTAGTATTTAATTTTGCTTAGTTTAACTTTTTTTTAACTCTAAAATATTTTAAGCTACAAAATGAAGGAGTTCTAGCTGCAAAATGATGAGTCCAGCCTCTTGCCTCTTCCCACACTCCATGAAGATCTGAAATAATCCAGCAGAGAGGTTCCCTGTAGACACCATTATTTGTTTTCCCAAAGGTTAATTGAAGATACCTCAATGAGTTTCTTTGGGACTATGTTTGATTCCTAGGGGTCCTGGTGCTTCAGGGCTCACACCCACTTTTGCATATTTCCTGTTAGAGTGTCAGTAGTGGCAGGTGACAAACTAGACTAAGAGTGCTTTTAGCACTATGGCTTTTCATTACATGACAAGAGGTTTCAAAATAGTTGAATTTATGTTTGGGGCTGTGGTCAATGACCTGCTGAAAGCTGGTAGCTATGTGCCACCTTCTGTTCACCATCCTGTGTGGTTGCCAATGTCTTTGTTGTGGTGTAATAGCTGCAGAGTGACAGCTGAAGTTCCACTGATTCCATCTTCACAGCAGTGTCCTAATCAGGTAAGAAGGAACAACATAAAAGTCTGTAAGTGGCAAGGCTCTGAGATGGCATCAGGATGCAGATTCTACCCTGAAACAGCAATGACTTTGAACTCCTCAGTCAGGAGTTGGCCACATAGGCAAGTGGTAAAGGGACACCAGAGAAGCATGACTAGCTCAGGTGGCCACACCCTTCTTTCTCTGTCCTGTGTCAGGATTTGACCAATACTTTATGACCCGCTCCCTGGAGAACAATCGCCGGAACATCTGGTTTGCTGAGTTCTGGGAAGAGAATTTTAACTGCAAATTGACCAGCTCAGGTACCCAGTCAGATGCTTTCATCCGCAAATGCACAGGTGAGAGCTGTCCAGGGGTGATGGGTTGGGGGGTGCGGTGAAGCCAAGTTAAGCACTGAAGGGGCAGGCGCACTTAATTTGGACATCCCTAGGACAGGTGAGGAACGTATCGGCCGGGATTCTATGTATGAGCAAGAGGGAAAGGTACAGTTTGTGATAGATGCTGTGTATGCCATCGCCCACGCCCTCCACAGCATGCACCAGGCACTCTGCCCTGGGCACACAGGTCTGTGCTCAGCCATGGAGCCCACGGATGGGTGGACACTGCTGCAGCATATTCGAGCCGTTCGCTTCAATGGTGAGTGGATGACGAAACCCCTGCGGGAGTGAAGGGCAGTCTGCTGGGATGAATTTCTTTGTGGGACATAGATAACTCAGGATGGAAGGGATGGGAGAGGCAGAGTGGTGTAGTTGAAGCAGGGGAGGACAGAGGTAAAAAGGCAACAAGGCAGGAGGCCAGATGAACGGATGGAAAGGCCACCCACCTACCCAAGTTCTGAAACTAGAGTGCCACTGAAAAGCCCCAGAAGGCCAAAAACCAAAATCAAGGGCAATTGCCTAACAAAGCACAATGCCCAATAAAAGGTCAGGTTGCTGTCTATGTGTTCTCACCCACGCGCACAATTGCAAGTGATCTCAAACTTCAGGAACAATCACCATGAGATTTATTTTATAATGAGGAGAAACAAAGAGCTTACTGTATCCACAAGTGGTGGCTGTAACCCCGAGAGCATCAGTGATGGTCGCCACTGGTCACCAGGAGTGCTGGACAGCACTGGCCAGTACTGATGGCCAGTACTACTGGTCCCCCAGAGGTGGTGTACAGTTTAGTCCTGTACATTGTTGTACAGCTAATCTCCTAAACGCTTTGAAACAGGCCAGAGGCCGGATGCCCACCCAAGACGAGAGTCTTTTAGTCTTAGCCAAAAGACTAAAAGCCAAGGACTATAGCTCCAACCAAGTGCTATAGTGATATAGCTGTACCTATACAAAACCTACAGGGGCTATAGCCAATCAAAGGAAGGTGCCCAAGAGAAGACAGGTCACTGTAGATTCTCACCTGTGTAAACAATTGCTTTATACTTCAGGGTGCAGGAACAACCATTATGTGCATTTTACAAATGAGAAACAAAAAGCTTGCTGTAGCCACATGTGTTTGGCTATCTCACCCAAATAGTGTCCACCAGAAGTAGAGTGGTGGTCACTTGTAGAGCACCAGTCACCTGTCAAAAAAGCTAGACAGCACTCACCAGTAGTGTTGGTCACCACTGGTCTCCCTGAGGCAGTGTCAGAGACATTAAGTGTTAACAGCTCTTTCTGAGTTTGTTGGGCTACACCAACAACACTTTTTGAATTCAACAACAGCTCTTTGTGACACCAGGCCTGGGGCCTTCCAGAGAACTGGAGGCCCAGTCTCTGATGGAGGTCTTCAGCTTTTTTCTTTGGAGGTTGGCTACTGGCCCTCTTTCTTTTTTCTTCAGAGGCCAGGAATGAAGTCTTCCCCTTACTTCTTCAGAGCCTGGAATAGCATTTGTCAGCTGCCTCCAGCCATGCTTTATATCCTATTGAGGTTGCCCCACCTCCAAGTCTGATTGTCATTTTTCATTTCTGTGACTGATTGGCCCATTAGCACAAATTAGCTCATATCTCACACCTGATTAGTCCACTCTATGATCTTAGCATCACATATAAAAGAGAGGTTGCTGGGCTCTAAGGAGCCACAGCCATGACTCCATCTGCTGAGGTGTTCTGGTATTATTTTCATCATGCAGAACTGAAACTCTTACCATAAACTTTAATTAAACTCTTTCTCCAGACCTTAGCAACCACCAATCACCACTTTCTGTTACCATGAATTTGATTACTCTAAGCATACCTCATTAAATGAAATCACACTGTATTGCCCTTTTGTAACTGGGCAATTTCATTCCCATAATCTCCTCAAGCACATTATGTTTTCATCCATATAGCCTTTGTCAGAATGTCCTCTTTTTTGAGGCTGAATAATATTCCACAACATGGGTAGACTATATTTTGTTTATCCATTTAACCCTCAGTGAACATTTAAATAATGATGCTATGAACATGGTGCACAAATATTTCTGTGAAACACTGCTTTTAGTTCTTTGGGGCATATACCTAGAAGTGAAATTTGTGGATCATTCCCACTATCAAAACACAAGGATTCCAACTTCTCTACACCATTGTCAATGCTTGATATTGTCTGTTGTCTAGAGAGTAGCCATCATAATGGTATAAGTAGTATCTCACTGTAGCTTTTATTTGCATTTCTCTGATGATAATGATGCTGAGTATGTATTTTTTTTTAAGATTTATTTATTTGTGCATACAGAGCTGGGGTACAGGCCAGAAGTTCAGGGGCAGTGAGAGGCTTCACAGAGACAGAGTAGGGAGCAGAACAGGCAGATCGATGAAGTACACTGCTGAGGGGAGCAGCGGGCGGGTCAGGAGAGGTCTGCCGCGCCATGTGGTCACCTCCGGGGCAGGTGGGAATCGAACTCATGCGGAAGTGGCTTTAGCTTCTTAGTGCTGTGCTTTAACCTGCTGCGCCACCAGGGAGGGCCGCTGAGTATGTATTTTTAATGTTTATTTTCATACATCATAGCATCATAGTTAATTTTTAGACAGTATTTATTTTCCCCCTTCAGGTAGAGTCTCCATAGTTCTCCTACCACCACAACATATGTAATCCATCACATAGTATCTTGTGCTTTTCCACCCCTGTTTTGAACCCTCCCTTTCGTCCTCTCCTGCTGTATGCCTCAGATCTATGGTCAGCTTGAAGTTACAATTCTTCTCCTGACCCTTTGATTTCTCTGTATTCTGCATATAAATGAAACCATCTGGGATTTATGATTTTTTTCTTCAGACTTATTTTGCTTAGCATAATTCCTTCCTACTCCAATTGTACTGCTGCAAATTGTGTGAAGTTATCTTTTTTGAACACTGAACAGTATATAGCACATCTTCTTGATCCATTCATTTGTTTTGGACATTTAGGTTGTTCCCATATCTAGGTTATTATAAATAGTGCTGTGATAAATAGAGGGATGCAAGTTTTCTGTAGGATTAGTGTTTTTGTGTTATTTGCATAGACTCCTAGGAGTAGAATCGCTGGGTCATACAGTCGCTTCATTTTTAGTGTTTTGAGGAAAGTTTACAGAACTTTCCATAGTGATTGTTGAAAGGATTGGTAGGCTCGACGCAGTTAAAGGATGAAAGGTCAGTCCAAATTTCTAACAAGTAGGAACTTTATTGCATTCCCAGGTAAGTTTCACAGTCCCCAAGACAGGAGAGATCAGTGAAGTCATGCCCACTGGGGAAGGTTTTATAGAGTAGGGAAGCTGCTTTGTTTTTTTGTTTCTGAGACAATTCATCAGCAATGCTTATCTGTATGCCAGCCATACAGAGTTGATTCAGTTCCCAGACTTTAGAAGGCTCAAGGTTAGGAGGCTCCAGGCATGCAGACAGTTAACAGCCCCAGAACACTCATGCCTTACTAGGCCACCTCGACCTTACATTCCAACCTCTTAGTTATAGGATAAGAGGCAGAGTATTCATTCTTGCTACTTCCTGTCGACATGGGGCAATGTGGGGGAATTGAGGTCAAGAAACAAGTCTTGCAAACAGGTTCTTTGGTAGGAAGGGAGAATAAGGGTACAGCAAAATTAAGTTACTGGTGCTGCGAGTCATCATCTGAATGTGGTGCTGGATGCATCAAAACATACACTGGACAAAGAAAAGTAAAGGCAAAATTAAAATTAGTGGTCCCACCGGGGGGCATACCCATGTAGCCAGAGGGCCACTCAGCCAAGCCAGGGAGGGGTTGTTGTTCCTTGTCTGGAATTCTAGGTCTTTTGTCAATTCTTAGAGTTTGCTTGCATTCTCTTCTACCAAACCTGCTTCACCGATGTAATAGCAGCACTCCTCTTTTTTTTTTTTTTAAATAAATGTATTTATTGTGCCTCATTTTTTTATTATCAATTTTTTATAACAGTTTATTTTTACACCATTTTGTACATCTTTTTTTCCCATCTCAGTTGTAGTCCCCGCAGGTTTCCCATCACCAAGTCAGCCGTGTGCCATCACCATAATCCCGCGCACTTCCCTCCCCACCCCACCCCCGTTTTTGATCCCATTCCCCACTCCACCCCTGCAAAATGTCTCTGGTATATGGCGGTTCATTATTCTTGTTATTTTTCTCTCCTGGTCCTTTATACTCCTGCTATGAGTGAAACCATCCGGTATTTTTCTTTCTCTTTCTGGCTTATCTCACTAAGCATGATCTTTTCCAGCTCCATTCAAGTTGGCAAAAGACATGTGTTTCTCTTTTTTGGTTGAGCAGCACTCCTCTTTAAGGAATAAACAGGTGCTTCTGTTTTGAAGAGAGACTCAGGCAAGGAAGGTTAGCTGTCGTTGGACCAAGGAGGTTGATGACCATCACATGACCTTTTCGAGATCGTGGTGAACTCTGGACAGAAGCAAGAGAGTGGCCAAGCACCACCCCTGCAAGAGAAGCTGAGGCAACAGAGGAAGCCAGGCCTAGAGCAGGCAGGAAAGCTGCCCTGCAGGGATGCCTTAGGTGTAGTAGCCAGGCAAATTCCGACTGTCCATATAGTGTTAGTTGAGGGGTAATCAATACCAGAACACAGGGAGGTGTCATCATACTGTTAATACATGAGGATAGAGAGCCATTGCCCAGAATAAGAATTGACAGGATGACTAGAGAGAGTTCGAGAAAGTTAGAAGTGTATAGCTGAGCCAGAGGAGATTTTATCAGTTCTTTTTTTTTTTTCCCACTGGGGCAATAGCATGTTAGTTATATGTACCTCCAAGTTTGTTGGTTCCTAAAGAGGAATGTTAAGATAAGAGAAGGTCGGTGTTGGGCTGGAGCTGGTGGTATGGTGGGTGCATAGACCAATTAGACTTGTAGAGTGGTGAACAGATACACCTAGAAAACAGCGAGTAGTGCTGAAATTGGGGGAGGTGTGATGGAGAAAGTTCAGAGAGTTTGTTTGTTGGACCTATTTGGGTTTAGCATTTTGGTGATTTATTTAAGTAGAGTCTGTACTTGATTAACAATGTTCTGAGTTATGACTATTGTAAAGTGAATGGTCTGAACATGTTCTTGTGAAATGTGTCAGGTAGCCACCGGCTTAGAGTTATGAAGCCCACATACAGCTGCCCTAGTTCCTGTTAGCCACCAGTCATCCCATGGGTCTAGAATCTGAAGGAGAGCAGAGGAATTTTTCTTGGATGTAAAATGACTGTTTAGCT